AATTTAATGAAATTATTATCTATTTTCGAGGGAATATAAAATAAATGTTCTTTTTATTACAAAATAAGCAAGCCATTTAACACAGGTAAACACATGAAAAACATCAATAAGATAAAATATCAAACCTAATATAAATCTAACATTCTCACAAACTCTGACATTTTGATTTATGTTCTTCTGGTATTACTTATGTATCTGTATGTGTGTGTGTTTTTGTCTAGTCCGGAGTATTGCCTAGAAAACTTTATTAAAGCAAGTGTTGAGGAATTGGGTAAGGTATTTGAATGTTCTAATACTAAGAAAAGATAAATAACTAGCTTGAGATTGTTTATATTTCACTTTTACATAGCTGCTATGCAAATAATTGTCCCAAATATGGAAATCAGGACACAATATTTTCAAATTAATTTTCATATGGCACTGCCCTAATCATCCTGACGTAATAAAGAATTCACTAAAATCCAGAATATGGCATCAATAGGTAGTATATACTTCATTCCAAACTAAACTTTGAATTCGTAAACAGTAATTATGTTCTAGGGCAAAGGTATAAGTGTGCATTAGACTACTAATTCCAGGTTCCAGTTCTTTAGTGATTGCTTTTATAATCTTATGTATTTCAAATATCTTCCAGAGTAAATTGATGAAAATAACTTTCACTCTCAAACTAGAGGTATGATATAGACATACTGAAACAGCACTAAAACTCTTTGAACATTTTGTAAAGGAAAAATGCAATATAAAATTTATCACTAAGAGGTAGAACACAGATTTTGACAGATTATTTACATTTATTGGAAAAATATTTTGGATATTATGAGATATTCTAAAACTTAGATTAATACTATTTGATAAGTAACGCTTAAAGTCCCATTCTTAAGAAAATTTTACAGAAGACGTCTTCATATAGACAGTGGGATGACAACTGCAAACATAGGACAGGACCTCTGAAGACTGACTTTTTAAAGTAGGCATTTTGTCCTGTACTCTCAAGACATTGAGGCAGGACTGGTACACAATAGGCACTCTCTAAATGTTTATTGATTATTGAATGAACCCATATCTGAAACAACCCTGACATGCATCCTGAGGTGTTGTTTCTGTTGGTCCCTCAGTACTCTAGAGAGTGCTGAGATATCACAGATTTATAAACATTATACCGTATTTTGAAGGGAAGTTGAGATGCACACGGGAACGGGCAAAAAAGGCTCAGTACATGGAATCAAATGATCTGAATTCAAGTTGTGATGCTGTTCACTAATTAGTTGTGTGACCTCAGCCTGCTTTCCCAACTGTGTTGAAGACACAGTGATCACATTTGTTAATTTCTCTTCCCCAGTATGATCTTAGGCTCAAATCGAAGACACAGTGATCACATTTGTTAAATGTGGATGAAAATAGTTTCTCTTCCCCAGTATGATCTTAGGCTCAAATAGTAAGAAAATAATTTCTCTTCCCCAGTATGATCTTAGGCTCAAATAGTATGACAGATTTTAAAACACTCTGTGAACTGAAAAATAGCCAACACATATTGAACGGACTTTATACAAGAAATCTGGAATTTATTTCCAATTTCATTATAAATTTCCTATGCATATCTCTTCATTTGCTTACTGTATTGTCAGATTTTCTTATATCTAAATTCAAAATAAAAATATTTTACACATTGGAAAATTTGCTTCCTCCTCAAAATGTTCAGATAATTACCTTGAATTGGCCTACTTGTTATACCGAAAAAATTCCTGTAAATTTTATTTCCCATTGTTTTTCATCTTATATCCTTTATCGTTTATGGTTCTACTTGTGTTATTAATAGGGGTTTCAACATTAAGAAATCTGACCACAGAAACAGTTTCTCTTGCCTTCAATTTCTTTCAACTTGCTTCTATTACAACTGCATTTCACAGACCTCTAAGAGCATTGTATAACATTTACAAGCAAGAGTTAAGGAAATCATTTATAAAAGTATAAAAGGGGATGAGATAAACAATGATAAAATCACATGTATGTGAAGAACTTTTTAAGTGTTGAGACTGCTCTCCTGCAAGTGTATGCTGTACTGTGTCAAGGGTAGACACATCCATTCTGATAGGAAAAGAGAGAAGGCTTAATTCCTAAGTCTCTAGAACGGCTTGTACATGGCTAAGGTGTTTCTTAGGAGTTCTGAGGGCAGGACCAAATACTGATCATTCCAGACTATCACAGGAAAAATCTGTGAACAACTCAAAATAATGAGTGTGAAATGTGGGGTCATGCATAATACCAAGGAAGTTAACTCAGCACTCATGGCAGAGGGTAGAAAAGGACATAAAAATCATGATTAAGAGGTCATAGTTCAACTTCTCTATACAGAGGTACTAGGAAACAGGAAAAATTGCAGAACTGCATCTATTCGGTATTTATAACTAAACCACCACGTTTCCATAAAAATAAATCTGCTGCTTTGCAATTATGCTGAAGCTTGGATTTTTAGCACCCATAAGTTATATAAAATGGGAGAAAACTGTTTCATTGACAAGAGACTATACCTGTTTTCAATCCCTTCTCTCTAAACTCCTATAACCAATATTATCATTTTTCTTAATGGAAACCTTTATTAGAGTTGAAAGTTGAACACAAAACATCTGTTCTGACATAAATTTTCCTAGGTCCATACATATTGATGCTTTACATAGAAAATATAATGGTCAATTTAGCACTCTGCCTCTGCTGTTACTATTTCTATTCGCTTTTTAAAAATGTATTTATTAATATACCATAATCATTATGTATAGCACTATCTGGTTTGGGCAAACATATTTTTAATAACTCTATGACATCTTCATTTAGAAAAATAGATAAGTCTAGAAAGTGTTGAAGGGGAACACAATACACGATACCAATATATGCCACTTCGGCATGTGGATTATTTTGAGCTGAAGATAACCAATACCCAGCAGGCTAAAGAAAAACTTTGATCTTTCCCTTAACTACCCCAAAGAATTTAGATAGGGGGCCTGGTTCAGAGACAGGGCTATACCAGAGATAACTTTTATCCAAATGACCTATCCGTATGTCAGAGCAAACATCTTATTACCAAACATCTGGTCTTCTTTTTTTTCTATGAATTGCCTTTAACCCCTTTGAAGCCCCAGGCCCCTATCTCATTCCTTTTTTCAGGATGATATATAAGTCTCAATTTCCTGACTTGCCATCATGTCTCATATTTTAATGGGACTACCGTACGTATGAAATTAAATTTGTTTTTCTCTTGTTAATCTGTTTTATGTCAATTTATTTATTAGACCAGCCAAAGAACCTTGAAGAGTAAAAGGAAAAAATTTCCTCTCCAACAGTGTCTTTAAGTTGATAATAACTAGATTTTTTTTTACCCTACAGAGTTCTAGAATACACTTGGCTTGATATACTACAAAAAAGTAAGTGGCAAATGAGTGCAAGAAATTTGAGAACCCTAAGGAGACAGACTCCTTGACTTTTTCATTTTGTATTTTCAGCACCCAGGTAATTACCAGGTATAGTAAATGCTTAATAAATACTTATTGAATAATATGCATAACTCGTATATATGCATTTAGACAATGAAACATATAGTATACAGTCATTTGTATGACACATGCTATATAAATATATACACATACACATGCCCATGCATATATATAATTTCAACATCTAGGTATTCTAAGTAGGCAGAAAATGAATATCAGATATAAAAATTATAGACTGGCTTAAAGATTTTCAAGATTTTTAGAGTGATATCCTTGAGCCTTTTGTAGATAGTGTGGTGACAATTCTGTACATAAGACATAATCTCTGAAGACTGGCTTTTGCACTAATATATTTGCCAAGATTACTTTATGCTGTGGAATTTATTCCTTCCAGAGTGTTCCAACTGCAGAAAGAGAGCAGCTGGGGAAACACGTCTGGTTACTTTTTAATGCAAAGCCCCAATGGACAGGATCATTTATGCAGAAAATCCTTCTCACCATCCTCTGGGTGACCGAGGCCCCTGTTTTAATTTTCCTTCTCTCCAGACTGTTAGAGAATGCTGTTGTTTTGTGGTCATTTTCTTCCAAAGATTTAGGAAGGAATAATTTCCTCCAACCAGTTCATTGTACAAATCAAGGTCCACAAAGGTGGAGTGACTTGCACAAGAGCTTATGGCAAATAAATGTCTATCGAAATGCATCCAGGAGAACTGAATATTCACTGACCTTGTACTAGTAGTCCGATCATCCTATTCTTAGGCTAACATTTGCAAACAGCATAGAAAACAATTACAGATCAAGGACTGGTAGGGTAGATGTGGGGGAAGGGTAGGAAGTGGTCATTAGCAAATCTCTGGGCCTGGGGATCACCAACTCTCTTGGAACAAAACAGGGTAACAGCTATTCATAAGAACTTCAAGGATGAGTGGGCCATTGTTTTCAGAACCAGCTGTGGAGAATCAGCTTAACAGTGGCCTTGGAATAGCTGCGGCTGTTTCACCAACTGGCGGAGACAGTAGTGGTGGAAGAGGAGTGAGCAAGGAAGGAAGGCGGCAGGAACCCGGTCGCGCCACCTTTCGGCAAACCAGTAAGTATTTTTATAGTTAAGTGCAATGGACTGAGCCACCTTTTGAACTGAAAGTGTGAACGGCTCATAGTAGGCCCCACATGGATGTGATAACTACAAACCCTCAGCGGGCTAAAGTCGAGAAGGCTGCGGACTGACAGCAAAATGATCAGCGCTGAGAGCGCCGACTCAGAACTATCAGAAACTTCACAGGGCAGAGCAGGCTCTGCTGTCTTATCAAACCGTGACCAAGTGAAGTCCGGGGTAAACAAGCATCGCAGCGGCTGCCTTCAGATGCGCACCCCTTGCGCGCTTTCCAACCCCTTATTTTCCACGCGTCCAGCACTCAGCTCTGCAGCCCCAGCTACCCTTTTTCCCTGGCCCCATCTTCAGATTGCCGCATCTTTCAGCCCGGGCTCCAATTCCCACAGCTAACGCAGCACACTTACCATCTCTTGCCTGAGGAGGTGAAGCTTGGTTTCCAGCCTCTCCAGGGTGCTGGAATGTCTACGTCGTGGGGAGCCAGAGGTTGGGGTGGACGAAGAGGAGGACGACAAGGAGTGAGAGAAGCTGCAGCAGCTGCTGCTGCTACTGCAGCCTGCGCCACCTCCGCCGCTCCCCCCGCAGGGGTCCTTGTCCCTATTCAGGGGAACCGACTCCTCCCCACGGAGCGAGCGCACTAGACTCTCCGGTACTTTGAGCCCCAGCTTCAGCTCGATGTCTCTGAGGTCTGGTAGCAGCCCGTCTTCCATGACTTCTCAAGAACGATGATAATGGTAATAAAACGCTGCAGATGAGAGGCAGCAGAGGCCTTCAAGGGTAGTGCAAGATCTGCTGAACCCTCCCGCCGCCCGGGTCTCTATCTTCGGCGGAGGATCGAGTGCCTTGTCCGCTCCATAACTGGCTGTGCGATATCAACCTTGCAATCTGCACAGAACGCCGCGGGTCGCAGCCGCAGTTCCCTGGGCGCTGTAACTCCTCTGACTCTTATTAAAATTATAGAGACCACTTCACCCTCTTCCTTTTTGGCCGCTCCACTGCAAAGTTGAATTAATTGATATTGCAGAGATGGGGAAAATACTAGTATAGACCTAAAAAAATGGAAATGAAGTCTGTTTTAGCGTTAAGGGAGAAAAATCACATAAAATTGTCCGTTCACATCTCTGCGCCATTCACTGACTGTACCAAACACGCAACACAATGTAATGTGGATACACTCCAGCGTCGTTTCATTTTCTAGCCATAAATCTCCAAGCTTCGGAGTATCCTGGATTGTCAGAAATAATCTCTAGTTGGTGATAGAAGAAGTCGGTCCTGTGCATGGACGCATAAAAAATAGATAGTTTAGCAGGAGTTTAATGGCTTCCTCGGTGCAGCAGAAATACCTTTCTCTCCATTTAGCCCTTTTGATCCAAGTCGTTGTGTTCTTCCGAGCCTCGGAAACTTTAAACTCCTCTGGCAGGTGGACCAAACCAGGGCCAACCCCTGTACCGTATATCACAGGCAAGAAGAGCAACAAAAAATTTCCCACCCCTGCTGATAGTAGTAGGTTCAGAGTTGTGTTTTAGTTGGGAGTTCCTAATAAGGGTTCAGTCTTCCCTGCAAAATTCCTGGTACCTGCAGCATTCACAACAGTTAACAAACGTTAGAGGCAGAAAAAATGACTTTAAATGTGGTGTCCCCCCCGCCCCCCCAATCCTCCTAGGGCAAAAATCTAGCTTTAGAAGCCGTTCCCAATAATTTTATAATTATAAAAACTGTAAACATTTCACTAAAAGTTGAAAGAGAATGCACATCCTAAATTCATCATCTTCCAAATGTATGCCATTGCAAGCGGAAGTGAAGAATCAAATAGCCAGAATAATTTATATGACTACTAAAGATAGTGGTGGATTTTAAAAGTGGGGAATTGTTGAAATATTTCTACTTTAATTATGAAGGAAAAATATTAAGTATAACTCATGAAAAAGTTGTCTTCCATAATTTATAAATATTTTAACCATTTAGAAACATGCGATCCATTGATTTGAGATACTTCTACCAAGTTATTATCAGCTATATTGATTATAGGTTTGATTCGACATTGAATCTGTGCTAATAATCTTCAAGAAGAGGATACTTTTCAACAGAGTAAACTCTAATTTTGAGATTCCATTGGAATATTTCAAAATATGGCCCCTCTATTTTTGGGACAAATAAGTATTTGTGTTCTTGGTCCTTCTGAGCCTCTATTCTAAAAGACATCACTCAGGTTTCACACTTATAAGCTCATAGGCAGATACATCTCAGACTTTATTTTTTTTTAGCATAGCCTCATTTAGGAAGCCTATGGATAGGAAACAGGCCTTCTGAATGAAATATTTCATGTCAGAGAGAAAGTTGCTGAAGTTCTCTTGTCAACATGTCAGAAATTTGTATGTTATTTCTTACTTTTAAAATAGTTATAAATGAAGTGGTCATTTTAAAGATGGAACAACCACTTATGGAATCAAAGGAGAACAATGCTAAATCTCAACTCACTGATAAAACTGCATGTTTTGTCCTAAATTTGGAAAACCACAAGCTCATTGAATAAGAATTGCGCTGTGATATATAATTATGGAAGGCTTGCATCTTAGTCAAGAACAGTTTTTTATTATGAACTCTTACTAAGTTCACCACAAGGCTAGCTGAGAAGAGTAGCTGACATGCAGTATCTACCTTGAATTTGGTCAATAAAAAGTTTATTGTCAAATTATCATCAATATAACCTACAGAAAAGGAACATCTCCTTTGCTAAGTTACAGACAGTAAAATTTGTATTCAATACTGATAACTCAAAAATAGAAAGTGGTTTTTTAATTTGTTTTAAATATCTACAGAGAAAACTTCTCTGAAATTAAAAATATGACCTATATGGAAAGTAATACTTTGTGCCAGTGCAATATAAAACAAATGTAAACTTTGTATAAAAGTTTAATTATGTTAAGACTTTAAAATTTTTTCAATTTAATGCTTATGGCATTTTAGTTTAAGATAGAGATATTTTGAATGCCAAATGCTAATTTTCAAAACATTAGAATCATGAAACTCTTATTAGGCCTCTAATAGATTGTGTTAAGCTTGTCATTACTGCTTTATGTGGTTTGATCTGAGGACAGTCCTTATCCAAAATGTTAAAAAATAAAGGTCTTTTTAATATTTGGGTCTTGAGAATATTTTTTGTTTGCTTTTAAAATTCTGTGATTTAAAAAAAAAATGTGTGTGCCTACGACCATGCCACCCTGAATGTGCCTGATCTCGTCTGATCTCAGAAGCTAAGCAGGGTCGGGCCTGGTTAGTATTTGGATGGGAGACTACCTAGGAAGACCAGGTACTGTAGATGTTAAATAAATAAATAAATAAATAAATAAATAAATAAATAAATAAATAAAGTGTGAAAGGTTTAACCAATTGCTGTTAGGCTGACCTGGTAACTACACATCTTGATTTGGGGAATTTAGTGATAAGAATTTTTAGTAATAGGTCAAGGATAGGTAGGGGCTTGGAGTAGGAGTGAGTGAGGTCATCAATGAGAAGAAGGCACATAGAGAGAACTGAGAAAGAAATAGGGAAAAACTCTAAGAGCAATTATTTTATATTCCTCAGATCCCTGACTCTTAGCAGCACTCCCTTCTTCAACCTTTCTCGTCCATCTCTAACCACCTCTTGTTTCCTTAATTAACAGCATCTCCGAGCAACAACCTAAATTTAGGGTGTTTCCCTAATCCTAATATATTGAAAAGTAAAATTATGAAAGTAGTTGTTATATTATTGTGTTTATGATATATGTTTTTAGACTCGGACTACCTTATATACCTTTTCTGAATGCTTTATGTATGAGCCGGGTTTGCCTTTTTTTTCTATTTAGATTGCCTGAGGAACCTTAGGATGAGTATTAAACTATGGAAAACTTTAAGAGACTGAGCTTCTTCCACAGTCAAATTGGGCTTACAGAGAAGGAAAGGGAATCTTTTATTTATCATTAAAGCAAGCCAGTTGCTAATTTAATAGTATCATTGTTGGCCCCAGGTGACAGTTTTTAAAAGAATGTCTTAGTCACAAAAACAGTGATGTGATACATGCTTTATATATTTCACACTTAGAACACTTCCTGGTATGAGACACAGTGGTTAAAACAAAAGTAGATTCAACAAGGCTTTGTACAGTATGAGTAATGCCACTCCTTAATCTGCTGCTAGCACTGTGGTTTAAAAAAAAAACAAAAAGTCCTTACACCTCCTCTGTAGCACTGATTGAAAGTTTGCAGCATTCCCAACTCTTGTTGGCACAGAGTTCAAGGTCTAGGGCAGATTCTTCAATCTGAGGCTCTACTTCCCACAGTACAGAATGATTTCAGACAGTTTACAGCCTCAAATTACCTTTAAGAATTTTAGGAAGAAACTTATTTAATGGGTATCATCTTCTTTAGATCTTTGTTTCAAAAGTGTAGAAGTGCTGTTTTTATAAATATTGTTCTGTTGATGATATGCTTCACAAGAAAGATGTCATAACAAAACTAAAGAATGTTGATCCTCTTCACACATAGTGGAATTGTATACCTGCTAAAGCTACAAAAATTTTACTTTGCCTATTTATAGAGCAATTTAATTCACTTATAATTTTGTATCTGGGTTGGGTTTATTTTACAGCATAAAATTATCTAGTTTATTACTAATGAGCAATTTACACATGTGTATGCCATGTATATCACTGTATTTCTCTATCATCTATCTATCTGAAATGTCTCTCCCTAAAGAGCATAGATTCTTTAAATAGTGCTCTGATTAGAATCTAATTAATATTTATAATCAAAGCTAAATACTTCCCTGGGAGATTTGGAAGACAATGCTAAAAGTAGGTCACCAGCATCTAAGATAGCCTTATCCCCTCTCCACAATCCCTGTCAAATCTCTCTGCCTTCATTATTTGTAATAGAGTCCTTTATTTGCTTTTACTTATCTTGCTGAGCTGTGCATTCCCTACTGAAAGGTGCAGAGCAAGGCCCTGAAAAGAGATTTCTTCAGTGAAGCTATCCTGTGTCCGTTCCTCTGTAGCCACCATTTTTGACTTATAGAATAGACTTATAGTTTATTTCATTGGCGTGCCGATAAATTTTACATCTCTCTGAAAACGTAAAAATAACCAATTTATTCACGGTGTAAATATTCCACTAGGGCTGATTTCAAGCTACCAACATGAGTGAGGAAAAGATGGGCAGTGTACAGCATTATACAGCATTTCCATGTACAGATACATGACATATGAATAGCCTCAAGAGCATAAACTGTAGTAAAACATAGTCAAATTATTAGGAAATGATGAGTTTTGATTTTTTACTTTGTTTTAGTATAACTTACCTAATTTAAAGCTTATGCAGTATAATTTTAAAAATAATAGCTGTGTTTAGCAATCAGCTGGCAAAATTCCTAAAAATTTTACAGTTGGCTTCTGCAACCTGGTATAGTCCGGCTCCAGTACACCTGTTTTATAAAATATTGGAGGATGATTATTAATTTTAGTTAAGAAATAAAATACAAGTTAAAGCCAGAAAAAGCAGTGCAGTTTTAAATCTAATTATTGGGTAAAGTGATAATTGGAGAAATAAGTTCCAAAGTCAAAAGCAAGGACATCAGGGAACTCATAAAACTATGTGTTAGTGTCCTTGGGCTACCATAACAAAGTACCACAAACTGAGTAGCTTAAAACAATAAAAATATACTGTTTTAAAGTTCTGGAGCTGAGAATTCCAAAATGAAGATGTTAACAGGGCCATGTTCCCTCTGAAGACTTTAGGGTAAGATCCTTCCTTGCCACTTCCAGCTTCTGGTAGCCCCAAGTATTCCTTGGTTTGTGGTAGCATAGCTCCGATCTCTGCCTCCTTAGTTACCCAGCTTCCTTCTGTGTCTGCATCCACATTTCTTATAAAGACACCAGTCATATTGGATTAAAGGCCTAACCTACTCTAGTATATCTTATTTTAGCAAATCAAAACTGCAACAATCCTATTCCCAAATAAGATCACATTTGGAGGTATCGTAGGGTTAGGATTTCAGCATCTTTTTGGAGGATACAGTTCAACACATAACACTGTGGAATGGTGTTTGGTCTTGGGGTACACTTCAGGTATGAGACTGTGAATAATATGAAAGAACTAGAATCTTCTTTTTATTTGGCACATTTTAATATTTGACAGTGCAGTATGGAGACAGCCTCGAAGGCTTAAAGGAAAGAAATAGGTTTTTTCCTAATTAGAAAAAAATGTATTAAAAATGACAAACTAGTTTGCCTCTTTATAAATAATCACCTATGTGTTAGATAACAACATCTGTTAGCTATTTTTCAGGTATGCTTTCATAGGCTAGAAAACTTTGATCTCAGAAATATCCTTATCCTGTAGTCTAGTGGCATAGTCATGAACATAATTCATATAATCCACCTTTGCTATCTTTCACCAAAAATCTTGATAATTTCTAAAATTGAATTTGAGGTAGGCTCCAACAATATATAGGATAAACATTAAAATAGACATAAAAGGCTTAAAGAAATATTCT